TATTTGAATTATAAATAAACTGTATTTGAACCAATAATTTCTGTATTTGAAACAAATATATACTATATTTAATTGAGTTAAATAATAATTATTTGATACAAATAAATATTTATTTTACCCATCAGAGAAATGTTTTATTTGAACCAAATATAATATATTTGAGTTAAATAAACGTGTATTTGTCTCAGAGCCTATACCTAGCCCATTTATTTGGTGTAAATAAATTTTTTTATTTAAATCAAATAAATATTTATTGTGAGACAAATATATAATTATATATAATTTCTCTGGGTGTTGATAATAGTCAATTAACTGTTTATTTGAATCAAATATTTCAGTATTTAAAGCAAATATCATATTTATTTGATTCAAATAAGAAATATTTGATTCAAGTAAATATTTATTTGATAATAACCAAATACACCGGTATTTGAATCAAATAAATTTTTTTTTCAGTGTAGCAAAATGGTTCGAAAAATTCTCTTCCTTCCAAGATTTAATATTTGTCATTAAAATTAAATATAATCTCAGTGTTCTACAATTTTTATTTTATTTTTTTTTTAATTTCTTTAAGATCGATAATGCGCCTCAAGATATTAAATTGCAGCTGATAATTATTTTGACCCTTGAAATTAAATTTTTTTTATATCGTCATTGAGATACTAACGATGATAAAATATGTTTACCAAAAGAAATTATATAATAATTAAATAATAAAAAAAACCCACTTTTTTTTACGCATATATTATTTTATTATTAAAAAAATAAATATATATTTTTCAGTTTAAAAAAAATACCAGTGAAAAGATATATAAATATTTATCTCAGAGCCAAATAAATATTTATTTACTTCAAACAAATTTTATTTGTACTAAATAAATTTATTTTCACCGCAAATAAAAATTTATTTGTGCTAAATAATTTTTTTTTTTTTTTTATTTAAATCAAAAAGTTATTAGGCTTTTTTTGATTTTGATAAATTTTATTTATTCCAAATATAAAAGATTTCTCTAATGTGTAAAATATAAATAATAAGTCATCATCAAGATTGACATTACAACCTTTGAAAAAAAAAATTTACAATCTTCTTATGTAAATGTGAAAGAATTCACAATTATAATCAACGAAACAAAAAATCTTATATATGATATAAAAACATTAATTTACAATTTCTTGTCGTTTTTAAAGATTTTTAATGATTTATCGCATTTTTATGGTTTTTAGGAATTGAAAATGATCAACAAAATCGGATACAGACGGAAAAAAAATGATGATCGACTACTTCCGGCATTAGAAAAACCATGACTGTATGGGGTTTATACTATATCCTCTGCAATATATATTAAGGGAAATGGCAACAGGTGCTTTATACAATTTATTACAGGATCCATTAATACGTCTATTACATTATATTGTGTATATATATATACTTCACGCATGGCGACACTCTTCAACTTCAGAAACGAGTAAGTAGTAATCATTATTTACAATAAGGAATCCCTATATATATTATAATTTTACAATACAGAATTATTATTATGTGTATCAATTACTGCGGATGCGCATCAATTGTGGTTGAAAATAATTTATGAGAAGGATATATCAAATCAAATTTAATATTGAATTTTTGTTCGTATTTTATTTATTCGATCTAATTTTGAGGTTATATATATTTACTATTTTTTAACCTCTCGACAAAATTTAATTACCTAGAATTTGCATAATTAGCATATATAATTACTCAAAAATATAATTTGTTTCAAAATTATTCTTTGATTAAAAAAGAAAAATTATCTTCGTTTCAAAGAAATGTTTTATTTAATTCAAATAAATGTTTCTTTGACCGCTATATAATATCAATATTAGAATTTCATTTAATGGACAAATTTCTTACATTCAAAGAAATTTTCTTTGAAAAGAAATTTTTTTTTTTTTGTTTCAAAGAAAAAATTTTATTTTGAATGAAAGAAAATCGCAATTGGTTTCTTTAAATCAAAGAAATCTTTTCTCTGGGTGTATAAAAAATTCAAAAAAACAATATCTTTCTAATTATTAAATAATGTATTAGACTATTGTCTTATGGAAAGTTGGGCTTATAATTTATATAATATAGTACTTAAAAGAAAGAAAAGTGTTGTTCTTTGAATCTTTTGGAATCTTTAGACATAGATTTTCTTTAATGATAAATATGGAAGTTAGTTTGGCTTATATAGTATATATATAGGAGAGTCCTGTATATATATACATATTGCACCTGCGGTTGAACGACGTTCTATGAATATTGTGCCCGCCTTTCCCTTCTAAGGTCTTTACCTGGTTCTACCTGACTCACATTTTCACTTCTTGATCGAGGGGTAAACAACTCAAAACTTGAATTATACATATTTTTCAACTTTAATACTTGAAAATAATTATATTATTCAAAATATTTTATTGGCGATATCATATATACTTTATACATCCGCAGAAAAATGATATATTTGATTCAAGTAAATTTTTATTTCATTTAAATATAAATATTTAGTTGATTTAAATAAATATTTATTTGACATTAACATATACTTATTTGATTTAAATAAAGAATTTTATTTAAGCCAAATAAATCGGCTAGTAGGCTCTAAGATAAATATACATTTATTTAACTCAAATATATTATATATATATATGGTTCAAATAAAACATTTCTCTGGGTGTATTTAACATTGCTGGCCTCGGGATTATACGACTTTTTTGACTATTTCCAACTTTTTTCGACTTATTTTAATAAAATGCGACTATTTCGACTTTTTTTTACATTTAAAAAAAAAATTTTTAATAAAATCTATTTTTTTTTAGTATAAAATGCATATCTTCTTCATAACTTCTTTATATCAATTATTTAACAAATTTTTAACTAAAATTCTTCACTAAATTAAATTATTTTTAATAATTTTAACGAAATTCATCACAAATTCAATTATTTCAAATTATTTTTCAATTAAAATTTTTATAAAATTTAACAATTGTTTAAAATTTAAAAAAAATTTCAAATAAAATTACCAAAAATTTTTAATTCAAAATCAAATAAAATTCAATTACATATTTTCAAAAATTTCAATTCAAAATCAACTAAAATTCTATTTTTTTCCAAAATTTTAATTCAAAATCAAAGAAAATTCAATTATTTTCAAAATTTTCTATTCAAATTCTTTTAAAATTCAATTATTTTTCAAATTTTCAATTTAAAATCAAATAAAATTCAATTATTACCAAAAATTTCGCAATTCAAAATCAATTAAAATTCAATAATTATCCAAAATTTCAATTCAAAATGAATTATTATCAAAATTTTCAATCAAAAATCAATTAAAATTGAATTATTATCCAAAATTACAATTATAATTCAATTATTTTCAAAAATTTGAATTTAAAAGCTTCTAAAATTTAATTGTTTCTTAAATTTTCCATGGAAAATTTTTTGAAATTTAACAATTTCAAATTATAACTCTAAGAAAATTAAATTTTATTTAACTATTTTTAAAATATTCTTTAAAAATTCAACTATTTAAAACCATTTTTCAGTGGAAAATGATTTTCAAATTATTGTATATTTTTGTCCGCAATTTCTATAATAAATTTTTTAGTGAAAATCATGGAAAAAATTTTAATTAAAAATCATTTGTAGTTCAATTAATTTTAAAAATCTCAATTGTAAATGTTTGAAAATTCAATTACATTTAAAAAATGTTATCTGAAATCGTATTTGATAAATTATTTTTAGTTCTGTAAAATTTAATTATTGTCTGAAAATTAACAAAATCTTTTAAAGTTCAATATATTATTTCTAAAAATTTTAACTTTAACTCTTTCAAAAGTATTATTATTTAAAAAAAAAATTTTTATTTAAAAATCTGTAAAATATTTTTATTAAAATAAAAAAAATCGACTTTTTTTTTGACATAAAAATCGACTAAAACGACTTTTTTTGTGCCTTTAAGTCGATCCGAGGCCTGCACTCAGAGAAATGGTATATTTATCTCCGAGCCTATACTAACTCATTTATTTGTTGCAAATATATTTTATTTCATTGGAATAAAAAATTTATTTAAACTAAATAAAAATTTATTTATGCCAAATAAAATTTTTATTTACACCAAATAAATATGTTAGTAGGTTCTGTGACAAATATACGTTTATTTAATTCAAATTTATTTTATTTGATTTAAATAAATCATTTCTCTGGGTGTGTAACATTTAAAAAATATTACAATTCAGTATATGGTAAATTTTACTATATACTATATATACTTTATAATATAAAATTACTGTATAATATACAATAATAGTAATAATAATAATAATCAGAATAATAATAATAATAATAATAATAATATATTATTCAGAGCCAAATACATTGTATTTGGTTAAAATAAAAAATTTATTTGCACTAAATAAGAATTTTATTTGACCTATAAATAAAATTTTTATTTTTTGCTAAATGAAGTTTTTTATTTGGATCAAATAAATTTTTTCTTTGAATTAATAAAATTTTTTCTTTGAATTAAATAAATTTTGTCTCAAATGAAAATAATTTATCTGGATGCAATAACGCGATTATTTGAATCAAATAAAAAAAAAATTTCATAGTTAACAAAGAGATATATATATATAGAATTTATAATCAAACAATAGAAATATTTTTCATTGTAAGACAGAATCTGGATACACAGGGGTTTTGAATCCCCCCTCCTAGAATAAAGTATTTTCGAATTTTACTTTTTCCAAATAGAGAATTTTTCTTATTATTAACTGAATATATTAAATATATTTAAAAAAATTAGAAATTCGATTTCTTGTATTATTTTTGAGAATATTTAATTTTTGGAATATATATATATATTTTGCCGTGTATAACGCGACGACCTGTCGAGGGGGTTTTCTGAGTTCTGGTTGGTAGATGAGGGGGTTGAGTGGGGAAGGGGGTTGGAGGGGACTTTGGAGGTGAGGAAGAAGCAGGCAGGCGGCGACGCGCAGTCGCCAGGTGAGCTAAGGACGTTGCGCGCGCGCGCGACGGGGGTCGACCAGTCCATCGTTCACACGGAACGAACGTCGTCCTCGTGTTCGCCGGGTTAGACGACTTTGTGTCTTGTAAAAAGTTTTTTCGAGGAAATTGGTTTTTTTTTTTTTTTTTTTATATATTAAAAAGAAAAAAAGTGTCGAATGTTTACTCGATGAGGAAAAAGTAATAATTTTCCCTGTCTCTCTTTTTCTCTATTGAATACCAAGTCACTTGCAAAGGTGTGTCATAACCTCAAAGGAAAAGGTATCCAGGTAACGCGACGTTAGCGGTGTCCGACGCAACAGGCGATATGTTGTATTTCTCGACTATTATCATTTGAAAAAAAAAAAAATTTATGAGTGCGCTCTTTTTTCGCGTGTGTACTGAAGAATATAGAAAACAAAAAAATATAGTGCCTTTTTGGAATTCGTTGGAAGAAAATTTTTGGTGAAAATTATTAAGGAACTTGGTTTAAATTAAATATAAAAGGGGGTGGGGGGTTTTTTTGTAAACCGCCCGGATATGCAGATGACGGCAGGGATGGGGCCGACACACCTGGTCGCCCTTTACGTGACGACTGCCGGCCTTCAGGGTACAGCGCTCGGTTCAGATGAAGAAGAAATCACCCTTTTGGTGTACGTCCTCATCGACGCTCTTCAAAATAAGGTACAGGTGTTACCTCTCTTTTTTTTTTTTTTTTTGTATATATTTTTATGGGGGAAATGATTTCTATATATATATGTGCGCCGTTTGAACAGGAGATTCAAATGCCTCCAAAGATACTTTCGTTTCATTGCTCTCAAAATTTCCAGATCTTTGTGAAAGTTTTTTTTTCTGTTTTGTATTTGTGAAAACTTGATAAATATATATACTATATACACTCTTGACAAATATAAAAGCGAACCAAGATAAGAAAGTGATATCTTATATCAACACTCTGTTTAATATTATATTTGCATCAATCATTTTATGTCGGGGATAAAAATTTCTCCAGCACACCTGAATTTTTATAATATAGCAACATTATTTCTCGGTGTTTTAATAATAATAATAATAATAATAATAATAATAATAATAAGAATATTTTAATACTTCTAATTTTAATCCTTTCGTATAATACACTCAGAGAAATGGTATATTTGTCTCGCGGAGCCTACTAACTGATTTATTTGTTGCAAATATATTTTATTTCATTGAAATAAAAAATTTATTTGAGGCAAAGAAAAATTTATTTCATTGAAATAAAAAATTTATTTGAGGCAAAGAAAAATTTATTTCTGACAAATAAAACTTTTATTTACGCCAAATAAATAAGTTAGTTGGCTCTGAGACAAATATATACGTTTATTTAACTCAAATATATTTTATTTGGTTCAAATAAATCATTTCTCTGCGTGTACTTAACAATTAAGACTAAAATATATAGTAAAAAGAGACAAAACTAGTGGAAAAAAAAAAATTGTAAAACTTTGTAAAAAGTATACACAATGGAGAAATAAAATCTATCTAGTAAAAAGAGACAATAAGATAATAAACTGTTCTAGAAAGATATTGCATTTTAATAACAAATATTGTTAAAATTGTTTATTTTTCAATATATTGTTTACAATATTTCAAAATTGAATTTTGAAAAATCAGTTACAATATTTTTTTTTTATCTAAATATATGCAAAACAGGTGTTTAGAAAACTTATTACTTTATTTTAATAACACTATAAATTTTTTTTAATTTTGACTCTCTCTCTCTCTCAATAATGGGGAATTTTTTTTCGAAATACACAAAAAATTATCAAAAAAAATTCACCAACATTCTGTAAAGAAATATTTTGAAAATTATTGAATCAAAATTTTGTTTAGCGTTCATATAATAACAAAAATTATATTACTATTATTACTGCTATTATTATTATTACTATTACTATTATTACTGCTATTATTATTATTTTTATTATTATTATTATTATTATTATACTATTACTATTATTACTGCTATTCTTATTATTATTATTATTATTATTATTTTTGCGTATATGTAAGCGGGACTTAGCTGTTTAGAAAATTTTTCATTGTTAAATATTAAAAAATTTATTCCTGATATAAATGAAGGTGTAAAAAAAACCTGATTTTCTGGTCTTTTACATTATAATCATAAAGAGCAAAATAAGTTTTTTTTTTCTTTTCTTTCGATTTTTATCAGCAATAACAGACATTAACTAATGAAGCTGTTATATGACTCATCTTTATGTCTCTCCGATTATCGTGTAATTTTTCTTTTATATTATTAATTATTATAAACTATTTATAATAATATAAAATAATTTATATATCATAAATTTTGGATTAAAATATAGTAAATTTTACTCAGTAGCAATTTTCCGTATATGGGTGTATGTGTGTTTTGTTTTGTTTTCATTGACAAAAAAAAAAAATTTTTTTTTTGGTTCCTTGGAAAGAATTATATTTCAGAATATAATCTTCTTTACACCTTTTTTCTTTCTTATTGGCGCTGAAAAAAAAATATGTTGCGCGTTTATACACACACACACACACATTTTTATATATATGCCTCCTGAAAATTATATATCCGAATTCATGTGCAAATTAAGGTAAACTTAAAATGGCCGGTGTATGGGTGCGGCATTTCTTAAGAGAAGGGAAAAAAATTTCGTTTCATTTAAAACTTTCAGAATATGGAAGCATATATATATAAATTTAGAAATTTGTTTTATAGGTCGATATAATTTTAATATACACGTTCATATTTTCTATATATATATATATGTATATAATCATTAAAAACTTTTACAGTTTTCTTTTTTTAGTGAATTCCACTGATATGCCAAATATTTTATTTATTATTTTTGGATTTAGAATGTGCGTCATTATAGAGAGATAGGATAACCTTTTTCTAATATATAACCAAGTTTCTTTGGTAAAAAATATATATATATTTATTTAGAACCTAAGACTATAAATTTTATATATTTCGAACAACATATCCTGTACATTTTTTTTTTTTTTTTTGAATTTATCCGCAACAGTAGCGGTTGCAACAGCAAAGATAGAAAATTGATTTTTTGAAAGGTTTTATTTGTTTTTTTTTATTTATTTTATAATTATAAAACAATGGAATATTTATGGGCGCGCATTTAAATTTATTGTTTTTGTTTATTGTCTCTTTTTTATGCTGTGTACTTTTTATAGTATATTATATATACTTTTTTTTATATAGGTTATTTTTTTTTTAATAGAAAAAAATAATAAGTAAATAATAAACTATACTATATACTATACTTTACTACACTGAAAAAAAAATTTATTTGATTCAAATACTCGATTACTATTGAGTATTATCAAATAAATATTTATTTGAATTAAATAAATTGTATTTGAACCAATAATTTTTGTATTTGAAACAAATATCATTTAATTGACTCAAATAATAATTATTTGATACAAATAAATATTTATTTGATAATAGTCAAGTAATCGAATATTTAAACCAAATAAATTTTTTTTTCAGTTATTTATATTATACTGCACTGTACTATTTTTTATACGTTATTTTTTTTTAGTAAAAAAATATAATTATACGTTATTTTGAAATTTTGATATGAAAATACACGTAAAGAGGATCAATTATATCTCAATTAAATACAATTTTGTCATACATCAAAAAAAATAAATAAAAATGGATTTTTTTTATATAAAATAAAATACATAAATAAGAGTAAATTTTAATAAACTGATTGTAAACATAACCTATAATTCGTTTGCTTCTTAGGTCCCGCGTCAAATATATATATAAATTATTATTGAAAAATATAGAATTAATATTAGGTAAAATGTGGTATAGTAAATAGTCATCATTTGTGTCAACAATCATCATGTAATTTGCATTCAGAGATTTCTTCGTCTGTAATATAAAATCTTTCTGATTTCAGTGGTAATAAAGATAATTTTAGAAGGGGGGTTGCATTAATGAACAACTTTCACTATTATATACTGAGAAAGCCATCACGAATGGCAAAAATACTATATATATAATAATTGACAATACAGCAAAAATATATCTTTTCTCAACTCATTAAATTATATATACTGAAAAAAAAAATTTATTTGATTCAAATAATTGAATCAAATAAATATTTATTTTTATTAAATAATTATGAGTCAATTAATTAGTATTTTCTTTCAAATATATACAAAAATTATTGGCATCCAAATAAAATTTATTTAATTCAAATAAAAATTATTTGGTTCAAATAAAATAGTCAAGTAATCGATTATTTGAATCAAATATATAATATTTTTTTCAAATTATAATAAATATACAAAAGAGACATATGACTAATATTTTGTTATTCAATTATGGAAATTCAATGTTACATAATAATCCGAAAAAAAAATTCTGGAAATTTTATTTTTCAGTGCGAGTATCAAATATAATTTTAAATTTTACACAAGGCGGATATATCTTATATATTTTCTTATAACTTTCGACATTGAGTAAAAAAAATAAAAATATTTACGTGTTGCATCAAAAATAGTCGATTACACTCAGAGAAATAGTATATTTGTCTCAGAGCCTACTAACTCATTTATTTGTTGCAAATATATTTTATTTCATTGGAATAAAAAATTTATTTAAACTAAAGAAAAATTTATTTATGTCAAATAAAATTTTTATTTACACCAAATAAATATGTTAGTCGGCTCTTAGACAAATATACGTTTATTTAACTTAAATATATTTTATTTGGTTCAAATAAATCATTTTTCTGCGGGTGTAGAGTTAGTATTTTTTCTTTGTTTATATATAGTTAAACATTTTTACCGGCATGACTTGATTGGTCCGCATATAATTTTCATTTAATATTAAAAGTGGATTTGAATTAATTTTTCTGAGTGTAAAAAAATTTATAATCTCCCAATATATTGGGGTTTTTTTCGCAAGAGAACAAAATTTAAGTGGATGACCGGTTTTCTAGATTTAAAGAATCTTTTTTGGCCCTTGAAAAAAAAGAAAAAAATAGAAAAAAAAAGAAAAAAAGAACCAATAGCTAAACTATGGAAGTCAAGAGTGAGAGAGAGCTGCCATTGTTTCTCCAATTACCCGACGGAGGCGGAGCGCCGCGCCGCGCCCTCGGAAGGTCGTCCATAGGCTATATTATAATTTGCAAGTTCGTCCATCTATAGATAGAGTCTGCCACACAGCTTTTTCATCTCATCTTACTTCACCATACTTGTTTCTAAGCCAATGAATGGTCTCTCATATATATATATATATATATATACTAAGTTCATTTCCATTTCTTCAGGCACAAAAACTCCCCATTTTTTCACAGTATTTCCGTTCTTCAACACCTTGTAACATTTTAATAAATTTCTTATATATATTAGTTTCTTCATTCCTTTGGTAATAATAATAATGAAATAAGGTGTAAAAAATATTTCACTTCTTTGATGAAATAAAAATAAATAATAATAGTGTACTAGAAACAAAAAAAATTATCTTAATTTAAGAAAATTGACTTTAAACTATTAAAATTTTCTTGTATCAAGAAAAAAAATTGAATTAAATACGGATAAGTAAATGGGTTTTCTTAATTCAATACTATTTTTTTCCAGTGCAGTACGTCATAGAATATTATAGTACATTATAG